TGGTTGAACGAAGCTTATTTGCCATAATTGATTTGTTACAAGGAACGAATTCTATCTTTTTGTACTTTATATGGCGTGAGGGGGGATGATTTTAAGAAATTAAGAAATTGGTGTTCTCGTCTGTTTTTGCTTATTTTTTTCTTATGTTTTTTGTCGGGATGGTTTAGGAATATATTGTATAAAGTTGAAGAGGTTTATGATTTTAGAAGACGAAAACTTAAATTTAATTTAATTCATTGACAAAGTTTTGAAAGAACCTGATGCCCAGTTGCATTAGTTGCAAAAAAAGCGGTAAACTCAAAAATCAATTGGCTTTGTTTTTCCATTGGCCGGGCAAATGTATACATTTTCCGGAATTCTTTTACTATCGCGCCAGGTTACACTCCAAAAATAGTTTCTTTTTGCTGTGAAAAATAGTTTTAATCCCTGAAACCAAATTCTATTGCGCTGAAAATTGATTGCTTTCCTGAAAATTAAAGATTGGAACTCTTAATTGCGCCTCCTCAGTAAAAATTAATTTTAGCGTCAATAATTTTGGAAAGCCCAAGGAACACATTAATGATTCAATAACCAAGTCCATCTTTCAATGATAGTTAGAAAAAACTTAAAACATAAACTAAACATTCACTGGTAGTTAGAAAAAACTTGAAACATAAGTTGAACAAGTTTTAAAGTTATCAAAAATCTGATTTTAAGTTTCTTGGGTTTTTGAATCACAAAAGGCGCATCAAAAAAATGAATATCAGGGTTTTCTTTTAGAGAAAAGTTTGAATAAACAACATAACAAAATCAGAAAAAAAAATTTGGAAGTTTTGTGGATTTTATTTTGACAAAAACTTTAATCAACTGGTAGGTATGAGTTCCTAATTAAACGTTATGGTAGTTTGAAAGTACATTGGCTGATCGGAATTGATTTGTAAAGAATTGTCATTTACCATCAGTTGAAAACCATTTTCAATTGTTTTTGAAAACGTTTATCTGACCACGGGTACTAAAAAAGTTGAAGCTCACTATGAGGAGAAAAAGTCCAAATAAACTATTACTGAGGTTTTCAAAATAATTTTGCATTGTTTGGCGTCCGAAAAATATAAGTTTTTCTTGAAATAAGAAAATTTTCATAAAGAAACAGCAATCTTTTTACACTGATGTACACATTCGCTCTCATGTATTATGTATTATTACATCGAAAAAACTTGTATCCTATTTTTTGAGGCCGTGAAAATTAGGCCACAAGCAAATATTGTGCAGTTGTTCAGACAGTTTTGCAAAACCACAATTATGAGCCAATAGACAAAATAAGTTTTGAAATATTAATAAAATTATCTTTAAAAAATTAGTTTGTTGGGGATATTTTCAGCTGTATCGATATCGTCTGCTTTTTTTTTCATCAGATTTCTCTACTCCCGTTTTTTGCTCGAAAATAATCTGTTGGACAAAAATTAATTTGAAAAGCTAACTTAGTCTAACTAACATCGTCTAATTTTCCCTATTTTACCCTTTTCAAAACTAAATATTGAGATAATTTAAGACCGTTTCTGATTTATTGTTCCGAATTTCGATACGAAAGTACCGGAATATTTGTGTTCGGGGTGGGTTTTTTTCCTTCAGACAAATTTCGTCTTTTTAACTAGCCATTTTCGACGGAATTTTTTTTTTATCATTCAAAAGGTATTGTTGTCCTGTGCTTAAATTTGAAAAGATATTTCACCTGTGATTTTTTTCGTAAAGTTATGAGGGTTTAAAGATTGCCATTTTGGCTATTTTGACCAAATTGGGACAATTAACGCGCGGTATAATTCACGCTATTAACGCGTAAGCGGAGATTTAATCCGTCTTATAAATAGTTCCAAATTGGTTTAACGAAGCTTATTTGCCATAATTGATTGGTTACAAGGAACGAATTCTATCTTTTTGTACTTTATATGGCGTGTGGGGGGATGATTTTAAGAAATTAAGAAATTGGTGTTCTCGTCAGTTTTTGCTGTTTTTTGTTCTTTTGTTTTTTGTCGGGATGGTTTAGGAATATACTGTATAAAGTTGAAGAGGTTTATGATTTTAGAAGACGAAAACTTAAATTTAATTTAATTCATTGACAACGTTTTGAAAGAACCTGATGCCCAGTTGCATTAGTTGCAAAAAAAGCGGTAAACTCAAAATTCAATTGGCTTTGTTTTTCCATTGGCCGGGCAAATGTATACATTTTCCGGAGTTCTTTTACTATCGCGCCAGGTTACACTCCAAAAAGAGTTTCTTTTTGCTGTGAAAAATAGTTTTAATCCCTGAAACCAAATTCTATTGCGCTGAAAATTGATTGCGTTCCTGAAAATTAAAGATTGGAACTTTTAATTGCGCCTCCTCAGTAAAAATTAATTTTAGCGTCAATAATTTTGGAAAGCCCAAGGAACACATTAATGATTCAATAACCAAGTCCATCTTTCAATGATAGTTAGAAAAAACTTAAAACATAAATTAAACATTCACTGGTAGTTAGAAAAAACTTGAAACATAAGTTGAACAAGTTTTAAAGTTATCAAAAGTCTGACTTTAAGTTTCTTGGGTTTTTGAACCACAAAAGGCGCATCAAAAAAATGAATATCAGGGTTTTCTTTTAGAGAAAAGTTTGAATAAACAACACAACAAAATCAGAAAAAAAAATTTGGAAGTTTTGTGGATTTTATTTTGACAAAAACTTTAATCAACTGGTAGGTATGAGTTCCTAATTAAACGCTATGGTAGTTTGAAAGTACATTGGCTGATCGGAATTGATTTAAAAAGAATTGTCATTTACCATCAGTTGAAAACCATTTTCAATAGTTTTTGAAAACGTTTATCTGACCACGGGTACTAAAAAAGTTGAAGCTCACTATGAGGAGAAAAAGTCCAAATAAACTATTACTGAGGTTTTTAAAATAATTTTGCATTGTTTGGCGTCAGAAAAATTTAAGTTTTTCTTGAAATAAGAAAAATTTTATAAAGAAACAGCAATCTTTTCACACTGATGTACACATTCGCTCTTATGTATTATGTATTAATAAGTTTTGAAATATTATTAAAATTATCTTTAAAAAATTAGTTTGCTGGGGATATTTTCAGCTGTATCGATATCGTCTGCTTTTTTTTCATCAGATTTCTCTACTCCCGTTTTATGCTTGAAAATAATCTGTTGGACAAAAATTAATTTGAAAAGCTAACTTAGTCTAATTAACATCGTCTAATTTGTCCTATTTTACCCTTTTCAAAACTAAATATTGAGATAATTTAAGACCGTTTCTGATTTATTGTTCCGAATTTCGATACGAAAGTAACGGAATATTTGTGCTCGGGGTGGGTTTTTTTTTCTTCAGACAAATTTCGACTTTTTAACTAGCCTTTTTTGACGGAATTTTTTTATATCATTCAAAAGTTATTGTTGTCTTGAGCTCAAATTTGAAAAAAATATTTCACCTGTGATCATTTTCATGAAGTTATGGGGGATTTAAAGATTGCCATTTTGGCCAATTTTGGACAATTAACGCGCGATTTATTTCGCGCTATTAACGCGTAAGCGGAGAGTTAATCCGTCTTAAAATCGTTCCAAATTGGTTGAAAGAAGCTTATTTGCTATAATTGTTTTGTCACAAGGAGCAACATCTATTCTTTTGTACTTTATATGGCTTGTGGGGGGATGATTTTTAAAAAAAATGTAAAAAAAATAAAATGAAAACTTTTTTTTCTAAAAACTGAAATTTTTTGATGTTATTACTGCTCCATAAAGCATTAAAAGGCAGTCGGAACATTCAGGGCTTTGCCTTGATACGAGCAGTCTTGTTCATTTTAGAGAAACCTTGAAAAAATTGTTGAGCAGAATTCAAAATTGCGTGGTCTGAGCATCAAATTGTCTATCGTGAGCGTCAAATTGCCTGAAGTGATAAAATTTGTTCAATTTTTGAAATTAGAATAGCCTCTGATTTCGCATTTAACAAATGCTAAAACATCGAGTGCTGTTTTATTTCTACAAGTTTCTCTTTTTCTAATTTCTAAGTGAAAAAACTTTCTACTTTGCTGTTAGTCAATAATTGACGTTTTTATACCATCTGAAATAGATATATATTTCTACTCGAATCTTTTGTTTCCGAGTTTCAAAGGAGGACCAGAAAAATTATGCTTGGGGAGGTTTTTGCTCAGTCAATTTTCAACTTTTCAAAGCATTTTTGATGGAATTTGCTTTACCAACTGACATATAATGTTGTCCGAATATTAACCTGGTATACTATCACCTGGTATACTATTTGTGAAGCTACGGGCGTTTGAAAAATTCTACTTTGGTTAATTTTGAATATTTAACGCTCTATACATTGCGTTTTTATAACAAGTGAAAATGGCTGATTAATTTGTTTCAAAATAAAATGATGCAGCTCAATTGGTCATATTTTTAGAATACGAGGCCTTAAATGCATCTTTTTGTAGTTTACACAGAGTGCAGGTGGATAAAAATTGATAAATTTTTTTAAATCAATTGTTCGATCAAAGCTCTATAGTTAATTTCAAAGTGCAGTCGGAACATTCAGGGTTTTGCCCTGGTACACGAACAGTCTTGTTATGTTCACAAGGTGTAAGAGCTACCAATTTGGCCAATTTGGGGTGATTAACGCGCGATAAATGTCATGTTACTAACGCATAAAAGTTGCTTTAATCTGACGCAGCAAAAAGTCGAAATTCAATAGAGGGCAACTTTTCGTCTCATTATAACGTTACTTAACGCTTAATATGCCACTTCCTGTGGGGGAAGATTTTCAAAAAGATCTGTAAAATAAATACTATTTTTTCATTTCATTTTTAAGTTTCATCAATCAAAAACTGGTGGACGTTAAAGGAAGATTGTATTATTTGAGGCTTCATTCTGATACAATTATTCGATTTCTGTGCTCTGTATAAATTCCAATTACACATTTCGTTTTCAAGTAACAACTGCAACAAAACTTTCAAAAACAATGACAAGGGAGCCGAAACAAACTACATACCATGTGAACAAGGCACTGTATGGCCATGACTTGATCCTTCTCCACTATGGTCTGCAACTGTAGAACGCCAAGATTGATATTGACACACACTGAGTCTCTGTGGTTCTTAACAGGACGAACCCGGGAGTTGTAACTCCTCTGCTTGAACAGATGACGTAACAGTCTATCCTCATCCTGACTGCATTCGGCTAACTGGACACCCACACGACTCGACCCCAGGAGGAGGAGGATAGTCGTGAGGATGAAAAGCCGACGGAGCCACCCGAAAAGCGCGGCGCAATTGGGAACGATATGCATTTGGCAATGAGCACTGATACGGCTAACCGGGTCGACATGATAACAACCCATAACTAAATTATTAGATTAAAATTTTCTCGTAATATGAATTTCTCGCATTAAAAATAAATGCATTTTTAAATGTATCAATTCAGTTTTTGAGTAGAAAAATGGTGAAACATAATAATATAAGCAATCAAATTAAATTGTGTACCCGGAAAAACATGGCGATTTAAAGATTGACAAATTTACCTATTGGAATGCTTGCGCGATGAATTGCTTGCGCGCAAAAAGTTGCATAAATCAGGGCGGGGCGTGGCTAAGCTTCCAAAAAAGCAGTTAAAGGAAGTAGGGGGAACTAATTTTCAATTTGAGCTACAGCCTTTATTTAAAACAACAGTGGTGCAACGTACATTGAGGGTTGGTCTGCAATCACTTTTAAATTTGATCAAAACAATGAACTATACTTGATTTTGTATTGTTCCGACTTTCGATACGAAAGTAACGGAATATTTGTGCTCGGGGTGGGTTTTTTTCTCTTCACACAATATTCGACTTTTTAAATAGCCATTTTTGACGGAATTTTTTTAAAATCATTTGAAAGGTATTGTTGTCTTTAGCTCAAGTTTCAAAAAATTATTTTACCTGTGATTGTTTTTCGTAAAGTTACGGGGGTTTAACATCTGCCATTTTGGCCATTTTGGGACAATTAATGCGCGATATATTTCGTGCTATTAACGCGTAAGCGGAGAATTAATCCGTCTTAGAAATCGTTCCAAATTGGTTGAACGAAGCTTATTTGCCATAATTGATGTGTTACAAGGAACGAATTCTAACTTTTTGTACTTTATATGGCGTGTGGGGGGATGGTTTTAAGAAATTAAGAAATTGGTGTTCTCGTCAGTTTTTGCTGTTTTTTTTCTTTTGTTTTTTTGTCGGGATGGTTTAGGAATATATTGTATAAAGTTGAAGAAGTTTATGATTTTAGAAGACCAAAACTTAAATTTAATTTAATTCATTGACAAAGTTTTGAAAGAACCTGATGCCCAGTTGCAAAAAAAAGCGGTAAACTCAAAAATCAATTGGCTTTGTTTTTCCATTGGCCGGGCAAATGTATACATTTTCCGGAGTTCTTTTACTATCGCGCCAGGTTAAACTCCAAAAATAGTTTATTTTTGCTGTGAAAAATAGTTTTAATCCCTGAAACCAAATTCTATTGCGCTGAAAATTGATTGCTTTCCTGAAAATTACAGATTGGAACTTTTAATTGCGCCTCCTCAGTAAAAATTAATTTTAGCGTCAATAATTTTGGAAAGCCCAAGGAACACATTAATGATTCAATAACCAAGTCCATCTTTCAATGATAGTTAGAAAAAACTTAAAACATAAATTAAACATTCACTGGTAGTTAGAAAAAACTTGAAACATAAGTTGAACAAGTTTTAAAGTTATCAAAAGTCTGATTTTAAGTTTCTTGGGTTTTTGAACCACAAAAGGCGCATCAAAAAAATGAATATCAGGGTTTTCTTTTAGAGAAAAGTTTGAATAAACAACACAACAAAATCAGAAAAAAAAATTTGGAAGTTTTGTGGATTTTATTTTGACAAAAACTTTAATCAACTGGTAGGTATGAGTTCCTAATTAAACGTTATGGTAGTTTGAAAGTACATTGGCTGATCGGAATTGATTTGTAAAAAATTGTCATTTACCATCAGTTGAAAACCATTTTCAATAGTTTTTGAAAACGTTTATCTGACCACGGGTACTAAAAAAGTTGAAGCTCACTATGAGGAGAAAAAGTCCAATTAAACTATTACTGAGGTTTTCAAAATAATTTTGCATTGTTTGGCGTCCGAAAAATTTAAGTTTTTCTTGAAATAAGAAAAATTTCATAAAGAAACAGCAATCTTTTCACACTGATGTACACATTCGCTCTTATGTATTATGTATTATTACATCGAAAAAACTTGTATCCTATTTTTTGAGGCCGCGAAAATTAGGCCACAAGCAAATATTGTGCAGTTGTTCAGACAGTTTTGCAAAACCACAATTATGAGCCAATAGACAAAATAAGTTTTGAAATATTAATAAAATTATCTTTAAAAAGTTAGTTTGTTGGGGATATTTTCAGCTGTATCGATATCGTCTGCTTTTTTTCATCAGATTTCTCTACTCCCGTTTTATGCTTGAAAATAATCTGTTGGACAAAAATTAATTTGAAAAGCTAACTTAGTCTAATTAGCATCGTCTAATTTGCCCTATTTTACCCTTTTCAAAACTAAATATTGAGATAATTTAAGACCGTTTCTGATTTATTGTTCCGAATTTCGATACGAAAGTAACGGAATATTTGTGCTCGGGGTGGGTTTTTTTTCTTCAGACAAATTTCGTCTTTTTAACTAGCCATTTTTGACGGAATTTTTTAAATCATTCAAAAGGTATTGTTGTCCTGTGCTTAAATTTGAAAAGATATTTCACCTGTGATTTTTTTCGTAAAGTTATGAGGGTTTAAAGATTGCCATTTTGGCTATTTTGACCAATTTGGGACAATTAACGCGCGGTATAATTCACGCTATTAATGCGTAAGCGGAGATTTAATCCGTCTTATAAATCGTTCCAAATTGGTTGAACGAAGCTTATTTGCCATAATTGATTTATTACAAGGAACGAATTCTATCTTTTTGTACTTTATATGGCGTGTGGGGGGATGTTTTTAAGAAATTAAGAAATTAGTGTTCTCGTCAGTTTTTGCTTATTTTTTTCTTTTGTTTTTTGTCGGGATGGTTTAGGAATATATTGTATAAAGTTGAAGAGGTTTATTATTTTATAAGACGAAAACTTAAATTTAATTTAATTCATTGACAAAGTTTTGAAAGAACCTGATGCCCAGTTGCATTAGTTGCAAAAAAAGCGGTAAACTCAAAAATCAATTGGCTTTGTTTTTCCATTGGCCGGGCAAATGTATACATTTTCCGGAGTTATTTTACTATCGCGCCAGGTTACACTCCAAAAATAGTTTCTTTTTGCTGTGAAAAATAGTTTTAATCCCTGAAACCAAATTCTATTGCGCTGAAAATTGATTGCTTTCCTGAAAATTAAAGATTGGAACTCTTAATTGCGCCTCCTCAGTAAAAATTATTTTTAGCGTCAATAATTTTGGAAAGCCCAAGGAACACATTAATGATTCAATAACCAAGTCCATCTTTCAATGATAGATAGAAAAAACTTAAAACATAAATTAAACATTCACTGGTAGTTAAAAAAAACTTGAAACATAAGTTGAACAAGTTTTAAAGTTATCAAAAGTCTTATTTTAAGTTTCTTGGGTTTTTGAACCACAAAAAGCGCATAAAAAAATGAATATCAGGGTTTTCTTTTAGAGAAAAGTTTGAATAAACAACACAACAAAATCAGAAAAAAAAAATTTGGAAGTTTGGTGGATTTTATTTTGACAAAAACTTTAATCAACTGGTAGGTATGAGTTCCTAATTAAACGTTATGGTAGTTTGAAAGTACATTGGCTGATCAGAATTGATTTGTAAAGAATTGTCATTTACCATCAGTTGAAAACCATTTTCAATAGTTTTTGAAAACGTTTATCTGACCACGGGTACTAAAAAAGTTGAAGCTCACTATGAGGAGAAAAAGTCCAAGTAAACTATTACTGAGGTTTTCAAAATAATTTTGCATTGTTTGGCGTCCGAAAAATATAAGTTTTACTTAAAATAAGATAAATTTCATAAAGAAACAGCAATCTTTTTACACTGATGTACACATTCGCTCTTATGTATTATGTATTATTACATCGAAAAAACTTGTATCCTATTTTTGAGGCCGTGAAAATTAGGCCACAAGCAAATATTGTGCAGTTGTTCAGACAGTTTTGCAAAACCACAATTATGAGCCAATAAACAAAATAAGTTTTGAAATATTAATAAAATTATCTTTAAAAAATTAGTTTGTTGGGGATATTTTCAGCTGTATCGATATCGTCTGCTTTTTTTTTCATCAGATTTCTCTACTCCCGTTTTTTGCTTGAAAAAAATCTGTTGGACATAAATTAATTTGAAAAGCTAACTTAGTCTAATTAACATCGTCTAATTTGCCCTATTTTACCCTTTTCAAAACTAAATATTGAGATAATTTAAGACCGTTTCTGATTTATTGTTCCGAATTTCGATACAAAAGTAACGAAATATTTGTGCTCGGGGTGAGTTTTTTTTTCTTCAGACAAATTTCGACTTTTTAACTAGCCTTTTTTGACGGAATTTTTTTATATCATTCAAAAGTTATTGTTGTCTTGAGCTCAAATTTGAAAAAATATTTCACCTGTGAACATTTTTCATAAAGTTATGAGGGTTTAAAGATTGCCATTTTGGCTATTTTGACCAATTTAGGACAATTAACGCGCGGTATAATTCACGCTATTAACGCGTAAGCGGAGATTTAATCCGTCTTATAAATCGTTCCAAATTGGTTGAACGAAGCTTATTTGCCATAATTGATTTGTTACAAGGAACGAATTCTATCTTTTTGTACTTTATATGGCGTGAGGGGGGATGATTTTAAGAAATTAAGAAATTGGTGTTCTCGTCTGTTTTTGCTTATTTTTTTCTTATGTTTTTTGTCGGGATGGTTTAGGAATATATTGTATAAAGTTGAAGAGGTTTATGATTTTAGAAGACGAAAACTTAAATTTAATTTAATTCATTGACAAAGTTTTGAAAGAACCTGATGCCCAGTTGCATTAGTTGCAAAAAAAGCGGTAAACTCAAAAATCAATTGGCTTTGTTTTTCCATTGGCCGGGCAAATGTATACATTTTCCGGAATTCTTTTACTATCGCGCCAGGTTACACTCCAAAAATAGTTTCTTTTTGCTGTGAAAAATAGTTTTAATCCCTGAAACCAAATTCTATTGCGCTGAAAATTGATTGCTTTCCTGAAAATTAAAGATTGGAACTCTTAATTGCGCCTCCTCAGTAAAAATTAATTTTAGCGTCAATAATTTTGGAAAGCCCAAGGAACACATTAATGATTCAATAACCAAGTCCATCTTTCAATGATAGTTAGAAAAAACTTAAAACATAAACTAAACATTCACTGGTAGTTAGAAAAAACTTGAAACATAAGTTGAACAAG